ACCTCAAATTAGGATCCACTTTTAATTTTGCTCTGTATTTATTTTTCAATCGTAACATGGAAGAAAATCTTTGTTCGCACAAAAAAGTTGTGTGAAAAGGCAATAAAATTTAATAGCTTTATTTGATATGCTTTTAAATTCTTTTTTTTTTCAGTTCAGACCAAAATTAGCAAGTGTGTTGTTTCTGAAATCTTCAGTTAGAGTTCGATGACAGGAAATTTCTATCAGTTGTTCGTTTCCTTCAGAAGATATTTGAATTCAATTGTTAAAAATACTTTGTTTCTTCGTGTACCACCTATTTTACTCTTGCGTACCACCGCTTGAGAATCGCTGGTCTATAGTATATGCTTCCTAAGAGAACTAGACTTCATATAGTTTATATACTCTTAGGAATCTAGTTCTCTAGTTCCCTAAGAGAACTACATTCCTAAGAGTTATTTTTTATTCAAACAAGTAAATTTGTGCAAATTGTATGATAGAATAAAAAAAATGTTTCCTTGAGGAGTACTGAAAATACAAACTGTATTATAGAATAAAAAAAAATTGTTGCTCTATGGAGCATTGAAAATGTTCAGTTTATAAACATTTCGAATGTAGACTAAAACACATTTCTATGTTCTACGCCTAACTAAACCATTGCATTAAATTAAAAAAAATTATTTCTTTTCATGATGGTTTAAAAGTGTTTGAGCCATATCACAAAGTTCTTTTCAGGCCAAAATGATATATCAATGTAAGTCTATGTTTAGTCAGAATTGTTATTTACAAACCTTATGTAGTTCATTTAACGTATATTATCCCAATTAATTATCATTGAAACAAACTTCCAGTTAATGCAGATATTATGGGTTATTTTAGTTAGCCCACAAAGAAAAGGGAATACCTAATATTTTCCTAAGAAAAGGGATACCTTCGTGGCGAACTTTATAAGGTAAACTGGTTTGTATTGGGGTTACACGTGGGAAAAAGTATAAAACCCAGGTATGCAGCCAGCTCGTTTGCTCGTCTTTAAACCCGCGACGAACTACCCGGCATTCTTTAATATTTTTAATTTTTATTCAGCATTCTTTAATATTTTGGTCACTGGTGAGTACAACTTATGCTGAAATCTAGTTGAAAATACTATTCCGAGGGTACCTCTGAAATTTTTGAGATATAAATAGATTTTTAAAGTTATACTTACGAAATTTTAGGTGTGTTCAAAGTAGTCTCCTCCACCATCAATGCATTTCTGTAGGCAAATTTTCCAGAGACTAAATTCTTCAAGCTATTCATTTCTTGGAATCGATGAATAAAATGCGTTTATAACCTCATCAACCTTTTCCTCGGGATTAAAGCGAGTCCACTTAAGTTCGTTTTTAGATTCGAAAATAGTCAAAAGTCACACACAGCTAAATAGGATGGTTATTGTGGACGTTCTGCCACTTTGATTTGTTTGTGCTGAAGATTTGATTTGTTTGTGTTCAAGATTTGATTTGTTTGTGTTCAAATTTGATTTGTTTGTGCTTGTGTTCAAGAAACTCAACTGTCAATCTTGCTGAATGAGAAGATGTACAACCATGGCGGAGCAGGAGTCTTCTAAGATCCAATTCTTGAATAATATCTGGAAGGCACTTGGTGGTGTGCCAGTTAGCTGCGACCGTCTTCTGTCCTTCCAGCTTGATGGCTTCGATCAGTCCTGTACTTTCAAGGAAACGGCATAAGTTATTATTTTCATGGCACGTTGTATTTCACCACTATGGGCAAGACATCATCTTCAAAGATCCACACACTTTTTCCTTGCTTGACGTGAAATATAAAAAAATGGTGCTTACGTTTCATCACCAGTTATGATTTTAGAAATAATGCAGTGGCCACTATCTTGAATTTAAAAGTTTCTTTGCTAATTCGGATACGCATTTATTACATATGTAGAAAAAGTATTTACATATGCACAAAATTCGTAACGCTGTGTTAGCTTTTGAGTCATGATAGCTGACGTAATCTTAGCAGATTTCGTCATGGAACACTCAGTTAGAATTTCGCAATTAATTAATGTGAGATAATGCGGTCGAATTAGTTAATTAATGTGAATTAATGTGAGATAATACGGAAATCGAATTAAATTAAAAATTTACGCAGCGAAATTAAGAGGACCCAGGTATAGTTTCTGCAGCACTAACTCCACATTTCGTCCTAGTTTTGAGGGAAAGTGCCCTACCAATTCTCTTTCCCTACATAAACCTTTCGAAAGGGCTTTCGGATCACCGTATACTTTGAGTGCCCCTTTTGACGCATAGATAGAATACGCTTAGAAACATCCATTCCTTCTGCGAGTTTCAAGCCCTGTCCTTTCGCCGGTAGTCAGTGTCACTAACAACTATCCCGTTTGGGCGGTAACAGACCACAACTGCGCTAAATTAAAACGTTTCGATTTGATAAACGTATAAAAAAATGTTCTTAAGTCCTTCTGCCTATTAATGTAACTAAGAGTTTGGCGGATTTTCTGAATACGTAAAGTTTAGTTAATAAATCTACTTCTCTTTGAGTGGAATCATATTTAAAAACGTACTTATTAGCGTGATGTCTTTTCTTTCCTTAGAAATAAAAATTAAATTTACCACAAGTATAGTGAAAAGATAAACGCATGATAGACTAAAACATGTAATTACTATGAAAGTTAAAAGCACCAAAGGGAATTTATTGTCAATGATTTGATAAAAAAAATTTAATTGGTCTAAATGTTTAAGAAATAAATTGCATTTGCATGTAAAACAAGACTACTGTTTAATTTTGGTTTTTCCAATCTGGCAACTGCATTTTGATACCAAGTAGCATTGCCGAAGAATGATATTACCTGTAAAACAGTTTTCTCTTCTCACCAACTACAAATGCCGCGAAACGCACGCACAGACGTAACTGTAGTTGCCGCATTTATCAGCAAAAAGCAAATTCAAGCACTGTAACATAAGAAATGTTTTTCCTTAGCTTATATTTATTGAACACATAATACATATCTGTCTGTATATATATGTGTAATAATAAAATTCCATAGTCAAGAATACAATAAAATTCCATAGTCAAGAATACACTTAAAATTCTAACTGTATGTTCTTTTCATTTTTTAATGGCGACGTTCTCTTATTTGAAAGTACGTGGAATTAAATCTACAGCCCCGTAGTCAAGTTGTTTTTCCCGCCTTTTCTACACGTACAGTTATAGAATGTTCTGGAAATATTTAAAGCGAACTGCATTGGCTGACGAGGCTGACGTCATTTCTTGGAAGCTCCGCCTTTCCAGAGGCTATAAAAAGACTCGCGAAAGAATATCGGGAGTTTTTCTTAAATGGGTCGATGCAGTAAACTTCATACAAAAAGTTATTAGTAATTCTTTTTATTTACTCCGGATATCTGATTTTGTAACTGCTATTTCTCCTGAATAATAATAAATGGATCCTGTTTTTTAAACTTATCGTCTGATAATTTAAGCTACGACTACATCTATATTTCTCAAACAATATATATATATATATCACATACACACTATGGTAACACATTTGTTTCTTGTATTATAACAAAATAAAATTTCTTATAAGTATAAACACTAAAGTTTGCTTTATAAAAATAAATAAAATAATCCATATTTAAAAATGACAGTTAAACACTTTTAACACATCGTGATGAACTATGTTTTTGATTATTTTTAACAACTGTTTCGAATTGCCATAAAATAAGCTGTTGCTATAAAACACTTTTTAACTTACATAACTTTGTTGCAGGAAAATACATGAATTTTATCCGCTGACAATTAAAGATCTCCAGGTCAGCGACAAATAAGGTTAGGTTCTTCCCCAAATTGACGTCATTTACTTACAGATTTGTGAGAAAGAAACCAAACAAGATAGTTACTTTTGAGCAGATTAGCGAGTCAGTGACGTCATATAAAAGCAAAAATTGTAGTACAGTAAGCTTGGCTACTGTAAGAAACTATGGAAGATTTATCAATTTCATGGAATAAACTCAAAAAGCAAGTACATTTTAATGTGAAAAGAAAAGAATAAAACTTCGAATTATTTTACTGAAACTTAGTTAAGTCTTTCAAATGTTTTGGATTAATTACCAAACAATTAAAAATGAACACTGAAAATATTCAACCATGATGTATGGTTATTTCTATATTAATTTTTCTTATTTTTGGGGATTTTTTCTTATTCCGTACATATTTTAGTTATTCATAAGGAAAATAATTCATAAATTTCTTAAGTATATTGGATCCCCTCATAATTTAATATTATTTGGAACTGTTTAATACTGTTTTCAGATTTAATGCACTATGATCAACCACAAATATTATTATATAATACCTTTAACAAATTTTCGTCCGAAATTTAGTGTTATATTTACCTATGAATTAATTCCATTCATAAGCTCATTTGTTTCGCAGTTAAATTGAAATTTATAAAATGTACATCTTTTCTTTTAAATCTCACCTGAAACTTTTCAAGATTTATTTTAAGCAAGTACCACGTAATCATAAGTTTTCAACAAAATATAATTATCATAGATATGGTTTGGTGCCATTTTTAACAACCAATGCCAATGAACATCAAATAATATGGCTTCAAAACTTTGAGAAGAAATTTCACTACCATCGATATCCTCCAGTGGCGTTTGTCTACGTTAAAGTTATTTACTTTGAATATCTGGTGAGATGGCTTAACTGTTAACAAATTTAGCTACCATGTGCTTTGGTGAAGTTTCCATCAACCGCTTCCAGAAGCCATCTTCCTTTAACAGGAAGTTCAATGGCTCAAAGATATTGACAGCATATTTAGCTTCCACTATTGCTTGGTAGAAACGCCAACAAAGCATACGCAAAGGATCTAAATCTGATGTCAGTATCTTAAGCGATCTAACTTAATATTTAAAATGAATGGCTAATGAAGGGCTCCAGTGAAAGCACTTAACGGATTCCGATGACTTATTCACTCAGTGAAAATGGGAAAGGAGAAAAGTACTCACCTAAAACTACGACATCTTGCGCGGCCATCAGCATTTCTCTGTCGTTATGGGCCGTGCAGATGTAGGTGCCGTTGTCCTGCCTGCGTAGGGCGGTGATTGTGAGAGTGGCCAGCACCTGCACATGGCTAAGGTCGCTCGACTTAAAGAGGAGCCTCTCGCTCCCAGGCAGGAAGGGCTCTTCGCCCCGCGACCACCTCACGGTCGCCCGTGGGTACGACATGGCCACACATGATAGCGTCACCACGCTGTGCAAGCTTGCTGCTGTCACGTTCGAACCCACCTGAAGGCTCAGGGGCACTGCAAAGATAAAAACAGACGCTCGTTAGATCAGCATACTCCGCCTTTTGAAATCACAATAAAGTCGTTCGTGAATATCGGAAAAATACATTGTAGATATCTAGGAGACTTATGCTATGAGTTTTTCTACTACATTTTAGAAGTGTAAAGGTATAAAAAAGACGGATATAAAATGCATATTAAACAGAACAACGTAAATCACATTTACCGACAAAATAAATTTCTAAATAAATAACTGAATATATATCAGAATCTGAATTCCGAAAAAAGATTCATTTAAGCAGATTAAAAGTACTATCGACTTAACAGCAGTCAAACAAAAAGGTTAAATTACAAATGATTTTCTTATACACTGCTGGCCATTAAAATTGCAAAACTAGGAAGGAATGATCTGACGAATATCAGAATCACATGAAAGGAGGAAGAGGTTTGGATATGCAAATGAATAGAATTTCAGCGCATTTCGCATTCGAAAAACGCTTTATGAGGTCAGAGTTTGCTCAGAATATCGTGTTATGCCTCGAATAATAAGAATAAATGCTTACCAGCAAGTATCGGAATTTCATAGAGGCAGGATCGTTGCCTATCGAGAGCGTGGATTATCGTTCCCTAATATCGCCCATCGCACTGGTCGACATCCAACCACTGTCATACGAATATGGAATCAACGGATTGCTGAGGGTTATACTAAATGATATACCGGTTCTCAACTCCCTCCCATGACTAACGCCCGAGAGGAAAGACATATTGTGAGGTCAGCTCTGCAAAACCGTACAACCATATTATGGACCATTAATCAGGATACGGGCATGATTGCAGTATATTCAGCATCAGCTCATACGGTGTCGACCTTTGCAAGCAGCATGGACTATCAGCACGGCGACCATTACTTCGTCTTCCCTTGACAATGCAGTATAGAGAGAGATGGCGATTCTGGTGCGCCGAACGACAAAGTTGGATACAGGAGTGACACAATGTCGTCTTTGTAGACGAGTCCCGGTTCTGCGTGCAGTATTCATTCTGATGGCCGTATACGTGTCTGGAGATTCCGAGGAGACCGCACGTGGCCTGCTTGCATTCGTTATCGGCCTAGGGGCCATGCAGCAGGTGTGATGGTTTGGGCATCCAGTTGGTACACGACACGCACAGTCTCACACAGTCCGGATCAAACGTAATTTGAACACAGATCTGTACATTTCTGACATCTTACGTCCAGCGGTTGTGCCCTATATTGAGCCGCCACCAAACGCCATCTTCCAAGATAGTGAAAAGACTACACGTTACCTGACCTTCCTCTAAATGCAGTGTATTCAGTTGTTTCCCTGGCCTGCACGGTCTCCAGACCTGTCACCCACTGAAAACATCTAGTCATGGGTTCTGAGAGACTGGTCCGTCACCCCTCTCTAGCTAATGCGGTTGATGAAGTGGGGCATAGATTTGAAGCAGCATAGAATGAGTTGTCCTTTTCTGTCATCCCAGCCCCGTTCCACTCCATGCCTAACCAGGTAAGCCGTTTTTACTTCCAGGGATAGCAGCTCTTTCTGCTAACTTTCGCACTCCTATAAACCCCAAACCTGCTTACAAATTTAATCAGTTTGCGTTCATTCCATACTGTTTACGTACAGCAAATATCTTTTTTGTATTTACTTTCTTTCAAGGTGTTGCAATTTTAATGCCTAGTAGTGTAGATCACCAAGAGCAAACCACTTGCAAGATTTGATGCGAACATTTTACCGGCGAAAACATTTACGTTACATGTGCTGGAATATGAACATATGTTTTGTAAAGTCATTAGAATTTTTTTGATGTGAAGGACATGAAAAATGAGCAATGCCCTCGCCGAAATTAGAACCTGGACCTCTCGATACGCGCCGAGTATGCTAACCGTTACACCACGAAGGCATGCCGAAAGAAGTAACAAACTCCTTTAAAGAGTGTCTGGAGATTAGGGGACTCTTATCGCCAAATTCTGGTTGTGAAGAGTCATCATTCGCCACTTTGGTTTCAGTTCGGGCGCCACTGTAAATTCATTAGGTTATTTTGAAACAGGAGACCTGAAAAATGAGCAATGCCCTCGCCGGGCCTCGCGATACCCGCCGAGTGTGCTAACCGTTAAACCATGAAGGCATGCCGAAAGGAGGGAGAAAATGCCTTAAATTTTAAAGAGGACTGTGTCCAGAAATGAGGCCAAGAATTTCATAACGCCACTTTGATCCACACTGAGCTACCATAAAAAGAGAGATAGAAGACAAGGCTAAAGATTAATTACGAATAATGTTTACAAACTCAGAACTAATAAAATAAGAATTAATTACTATTTCTAAGCATTTTGAGATTAAACTTTAATGTAATGACCTCAGCTCAAAATCTAGCAAAGCATGTGTTTATCATAAATGAATAATTAAATCTTCGTTTCGAAGTTTTATAATTTACCGTTTTTTTTTGAAAGATAAGCCTCTCAGATATCTGTCAATTCTGAAAACTACCTTAGAATTTATATGAAGAGGTTAAATTTCATTAGGATATATAAAAATCGTTCTATAACAACGCACACGTTAGCTAAATTATACTCTCAAGCTTTTTACACTTTGTTACAAAAGAATGCTTGATAATTCCTGTATGTGCTTCTATTGATGACAAATGACATAAAACTTGATATTTAGAATCTAAAAAGTGATGTTATCAATGTATTTCAAGACTGATTTTACTGCGAGTGTAACGATGAATTTCGCTTCTGAAATTGTCTGAACAAATTTTACAAATGTACATAAATCTAAACTTATAAGTTATTTCTCCCGCCTGCTTAGCATGCCTGCGTGGTATGGTCAGCATGCTCAGCGCGTATTTGGGACTCGGACCATTTTTCTTGTCTCCTGCTTCCAAAAATCCTAATGCCTCAAAAAACTTTTATTGCATTTAATTTACAATATTTCGTGGAACATTTGTGCAAAGTTTCATAAAATTTCTATCGTAATACCTTCAGTTAAAGATTTTTTCCTAACAAAAGAGATCAAGAAACAAAATAAGAAAACAGTTTGAATGTAAAGCAAACACAAACAGAAGGAAATGAAAATGTTGCCAAGTACGAAACTTAAATTGCAAAACTTAATTTTGTTTCCAAGCACTTAATATCAAGTAGAAAGGTTCAGAATCTTCTTTTGAATGTCATTAGAACTATTCAAACGACAAATTCTCCTTTTAAAGATATTTAGAGTAGTCTGCGTGCCATTAGACATCAACTTCCGGTTTCTTAAACAGAAATATCCGGTTTATTGCGTAACCAACGACAGCCATAATTCTGCTTCCAACGACCAAAGAGACAAAATAAAAGTAGTCTGCTGTTGTTACGTATCTGACAGCTTACCAATTTGTAAGGGAGTACCAATTTGTAATTCCCTCAGGGGAAGTTATTGGCTAAATTTTGATTGAATTAGAAAAGCGTTTATTATTGGAAAGTATTTTTATACTTAAATTTTGATAGTCAATAGAAACACTTCCCGGGGTTTGGTACCTTGTCGTGGTCTGAGGGCTCCACCTCCTAAGGGAGGTGGTCTAAATCCAAACCCCAAAAGAGATTGACAATGGATAAGAAAGTTCAGACAGAGACTTCTGTGCAGAGTGATTTGATTGAAGAAGCTCGGACTATAATTAGCGAGCTAGAGACTTGTTTGGAAGATGCAAGTAGAATTACAATTGCAATAAGAAAGAAAGTTTTTAATACACAAGAAGTGTTGTTCAGTTATTTGGTATCTCAAGCATTGGAGATCGAAAATTTAAAAGGAAAATTAGAAATATTGGATAAGAAACCACAATATGAAAGATCTTTTGCTGATGTATTGAAACAGCAGAAAATAAGTGATAAGAAAACGTATCAGAGTAAAGGAAAAACTAAGAAAATAGAAGAACATGTTGTTCTATTGTATCCGAGTAAAAAAGGAACTTCTTCTGAAGAAGTTAAATCAAAAGTAGTAGAAAACATTGATCCAGTTGAGTTGAAGATCGGTATTAAGAATGTTAGAAAAGTGAATAATGGTGGATTGGTTGTACAATGCTCGAAAAAAGAAGATATTGTTTCATTAGAACGAGAAATAAAAACGAATTCTCTTTTAAGAGATGAAATTCAAGTAAAAGCTCCTAAAAAGAAACAACCTAAAATTATATTATATAATGTGGAGGAAGAACTGGATAAAGATGAAATTTTGGAAGCAATCAAGAGACAAAACCAAATATTTGAAAGTGGTGGAATTGAACTCTTGTTCAAAATAAAAGCTAAAAATCAAAGAGTACACTGGGTAGCAAATATTCAACCAGATAAATTTGGTCCGATTATGAATCAAAATAAAATTAATTTGAAATGGTATAGAATCACAGTAAAAAAATATCTTAATGTTGTAAGATGTTTCAAATGTCAAGAGTATGGTCATTTTCAAAGTAAATGTGATAAAGATTTGATATGTGGTAAATGTTCAAAAAGGGGACATAATTATTGGGAATGCAAAAATGAATCTGAATGCATCAATTGTGTACAAGCGAACATTAAATATAAATTAGATTTAGATACTAAGCATTCAAGCTTAGATAAAAATTGTTCCTGTTTTAGAAGACAAATGGATCTTATGATAAGAAGAACTGACTATGGGTAATGTTCTCTTAAAAAGGAAAAGGAAGGAAAAGAAAGAAAAAGAAAAAAAAATGGTGAATAAAATTGTATTATGAACTATTATTGACAATTGTAAATTTTATGTTTAAAAATGTTAAAATAAATTGAAAAAGTTATTCATTTTGTTATGAGGTCTCTGTGTATTATAAAACTTATATTAGACTATATATTATTGTACAAATAATCTTATTACGATAAGGATGTCATTTGTTATAAGTTGTTGTATTATTATATGGAAAAGTGTTCTATTTCCTAAATTAGGAATATGTTAATTTTAATTTGATTAAAAATTATGTATTATTATATCTTTTGTTGTAACAAGTTGTTTCA